TGTCGGCAAGCTGGTTATAAAGAATCATTAACTCAAACTGTTTTCGACTGCAAGTAAGATTAACTAATAAATTTAAAACTTTTACTGATATGAAAAAATGAAGAAAAAAAATGAAAAATGTGCAGCTCGCTTTCAAACGAAGATCGCTTAACAGTACCACCCTGCACTAACAACACTGGCGAATATCAAAGAATCACATTGGCATGCACCGATCCGAACGCGTTTTCATTGCAAGAATGTAGTTTGAACGTACCCCAGGACCCAGAGGTCTTCTACAACATAACGTGTCTCGAGCTGGTGCCAACACAAGCTGGTAAGTTCTTTAAAATCTCTCAAGAGTAATAACTTGAATATTATTTTAAACTGCAAAAGAAGTTTTGCAGTTCTGCGTGAATCAAAACTGAAATGAGAATTTATATACCTAATTTAAAAATAGGATTTTTTAAGCAATATAATATTTTTCTAGAAACCAAATAAATCTTAAAAATTTATATATTTAAAATTGTTCCTTGTTGGTTACTTATTTATAAAGAAACTCGCAAAGAAACTGTTCAATGATCCGATTGAAGTTAAAAAATTGAATGATACTATTTTTGACATTTTCAATCGAGGTACTGATATAAAAAATTTAATTCAAGGGCGACATTCGATACCGAATACATTTTACTCTGACTAAAATATAACATCTTGTCGTTTGATTAAAATATTGAAAACAAATCGATTTCCCAGATAAATCGTGAAATTCACAACAAAATCTGGGCAAGGGCTGGGAGTTACATCATCTTGATGACGTCACATTGAATCTCAAAACTTTGGATGATGACGAAATGTTGTTTCAAGCACTCCCTTGTCTACTGGCAACTGATCCCAAATGTTTCTCGCTCATGTTTTCAAAAAAACCTGGCTGGTTTCTCCGGTATGCAATTGTGAAAAAAACATTCTGCATACCTACACCGATATTGTCTTTTGTTTGTCATTTTTATTACAGGAAGAACGGAGAAAGTTTAATTTTGGACTTAAGAAACAACCCAAGACGTGCCAATGAATTCAACATGGACGCCTCCTTCGTGTTAATGTCAACATTCAACCCATCTGATGTCGGTTACTCGTCTATAAAAGTTTTGTCTTCATCATCTCCTAGCGACAACGTAATATTCCAAGAGAGTGTTACATCATCGTCATCTGCTTCCTTGAGTTTGGTGACGTCATCTGCAGCCAGTGCATCCAACAGTCAGAGCATGTCCAGTTTCAAAATGGAAGAGTGGACGGGGGAAGTTTCAAAGAGGAGGAAGAGATCAGCTGGTGAGTAACTTCAAACTTACATATTGTCACATGCTCAACTATTTTATTTTAAATCATTACCTTAAATTTTGCGTTAGTCGTTGAAATTATGAAATCAAACTGTTGTAAAAAAATAAGTTTTCATTTTTATAAGTGCCTAATTCCTACAAAAACACGTGCACACAGGCGACCAATCCATTTTAAACAATGTCAGAATAGTGAATCCAAACGTCGGCATTTCAATCCAGGGTAAACTGCCAATCCTGAAAAACATTGAGGTCGTCAACAGCGCATCTCATTCCCTGCAAATAAAAGGCATCGTGTCTGGTAACTTCACAGTTGAAAATTTTATCTCTGTTGATTCTGGGGCCTCTGGAATTGTTTTCACGTTGGCCGACTACTCAAATGACTTCCGATGTTTGATATCGAACAGCACGTTTGTGAATACGAAGGAAGCATCTGTTTTGTGGTCTGGGAGAGGAACGCTAATGATTGAGAGATCAAATTTCCTACAATTCAACACTTTCGCCATCAACATGGAATCTCGTGGAGATGAGACAAGTGCATCTAGAGCTCTAATCAAGTCGTCTCAGTTCAAATCGAAATCATGCCAAAATACTTTGCGATTTTACGGCATCGGCTACCAACAATATTTTCAGTATTTTTATGTCTCCATTGAGAATAATGATTTTTTGGAACTGAATGAAAACAACTTTGATTATACACTTATCTACACTGCTTACTTGATCTCAAACATTAAATCAAACAGAATTGTAAACTGTAGGTGCAATATCATCATTTCAATTGGCTTCCAGACTAATGTTAGTCTTATTTCTTTATGAATTCGTCTAAAAAAACTTCAAAATCTAGATTATGTATTTTGAATCCATGAATAAAACTTAAATTCTTCATTATTAAGTTTTAAATTTCTATTATGACAAAAACTTAAAAAAAATGAAACTTTTTCTGTTTAGATATCGGACAACATTTTTGCAGACAATACCGCGAGGACGATAATTAGCTCTGAAAGCATCCACAGTACAATAAAAGATAATATATTTTCAAACAATCTCAAACCATACGGCGAAACTCAGACGATAAAGTTGTACACGCATGCCGAAAGTGAAGTCTCCGTCTACAACAACAGTTTCCTCAAGTCAAATTTGGATTACGATATATACATACAGTCATCTTGGGATAGATTGAGTGGAAATCCTTCCATCATATACGACGTTTCTAATAATAAATGGTCTCAGAATAACTGGTCTGACATCCTAAAAAGGTTGAAAAATATTTCCAAGTCATGCTGGTGTCTTTTTACATTTACAAAAAGTTGATAAAATTAAATTTAAAATCTTAGGATAAGTTGTTTCTACACTTATTCCTACTACTATCCTGTCAACATCTGGCCTTCAATCTCCCTTAATGACGGAAATGAATCCATAATAAGCAAACCATTAACGGGTCTCCTGAATAGAGAATCCGGTGAGTATGAAATGATGTTCTGAATTGATAGAATGATCGCAATTATGAAACGTCGATATCCCAATTTTTGCAGATTTCCACGGAGGTGAAGTAACATATTCTCGAGTTCTTAGCAACATGACGAATGGAGTTTATACTCCTAGATTTTCAATTTTCGTTCCGTTAGTAATTTTTTTAGCAACATTTATATATTAATAGAAAATTTTCAAAAATAATTTGCTTTGAAATAATTATTTTTTAATACTGCAAGAGCGAATGTTACTTTAACGCTGAACGGGGGAATCGTTTTAGAGTTCGCAAATGATTTGAGTTTTGCGGTTGAAGGTGAGTACAAACTGATGTTTTGGTGGTTATTTTATTTCTTTTTTACAATTTTTTATCTTTAAAATGTTGCGTGTGAATTTTAGGCTATCTGGTAATCAACGCGACTGCCGAATCTCCTGTTACATTCAAAAATGTCCATTCATTTTCAGTATTCGGAGGTAGGAATAACATTTTATATCTCTATGTTTCCAAATTTACAGATTAACAATTTTTGACTCATTTGTCAAAACTTCCAAATTAATTTCTGACACTTATTTTATTTCTCAAGATGAAGTTAAGTTGCGGAACGTCAGATTTGTGAACATTAAAAGTTTCGCGATCATAAATGCGAACAAAATTAGCGTGGCTAACGTCCAAGTGGAGGTAATGAGTAATGAATTCAGATTTGTCGGAGATGTCGTTGAAGTGCTGAACTCAACTTTTACGCAAATTTCCTCCTATGCAGTGAACTTTATAAGAGGCGATAACCTGAACAAAATTGTAGAAAATAAATTAACAATTTCTGGATGTACATTTATCGGGTTCGTGTACTTTTGAATCTTCTAATCTCAATTTGTAATTTTTTGTTTAAAAAAAAATTTCAAATTACTTCTAAATAAATAATTTAATACTTATTTATATATGGAAAAAATTTGTTTTGCATTCAGTTATCAAAACGGCCTACGGATATCAAGAGGATTTGATGTGGTTGAAGTAAACAGTTGCTCCATCAGCAAGTCATATTACGTGGGATTGAGCATAGAGAACAGTCAATACAGAACAAACTCCACTGTCAGAATCGTTAACTGCTTGTTCGCAGACAACGGTCTGAGCGTTTTCTCTCCCGGTTACGTTATGGGAAACACCGAGATAAGTCGATCGTCATTTACGGAAACACCTGCAGCCCCCCCGCGTTACACTGGCTACCAAGCGTCCTGCATTTTGCTAACCTTAGATAATGGCGATGAGTTTCTCCTGCAAGAAAACACTTTTCAAAAAAATTCCCTTCCATCGGTAAAACTATTAAGAGCATTTACAGGTTCTACTAAGAAATTAACTCTCAAAATTTTGGACAATGTTTTTGCCAATTCATCAGAAGTATCTCTCGTTCTGGAGAATTTGTTAGGGGTGGAAGCCAGCATCCTGAGAAATAAGTTCCACTCCAATATGGCCGATAGAACCAAAAGTGTAAACAAGGCGAGTTTGTTTTTGTTTGTTAATTCGTTTTAAAACGGCGTTTATCAAATAATATTTTGCTCGTTCATTCCAAAAATATTTTTTTTACAAAAATGTGAACTGTTGTGTAGAAACATCGTAATATGTAAAACTTTTATGAATTAATTCAAACCACAATTTAATTATTTTACAAAATGATTTCTTTCGCAGGCTTCATTCAGTTACATTTATACTAACGATTATGCACTACAATACAATTCTTGGCCTCCAGTTCAGTCAACGATATCGCAAAATCGATTTGAAAAAAACGGCGGAAAATGTTGTTTCGAACTAATGGCCACGTTCGATAATTCTGAACAAATTTTGGCAAACATGTACAACAAGACGAATTCTCGACTGGGAATTTCTTCAAATGTCTTCCTCGATAATTTTCCTTTGGAAGGAGTCATCCTATCAAACATCCCACCTCCTAACTTTACTTATAACATCTTTTCCAATCCTTTCATTAAGTAATTTCGTTATAATTGAAATTATTTATAAATAAATATTAATGACGCTTCTCTTTTTAAAGGTATGATTTCGTTTCAAAATTTAAAACTGGCTTCACTCAAAACTGCACCTACAATTGGTGGGGTTCCAATGAGAGTTTGAGCATCGCAGGCAGATTGAAGGACGCAACTACAGATGCCACACTCGGTCGCATCGTTTATGAGCCCTACTTGAATGAGACCAAGTTCTCGTGCTCCGGAGTGCAGTTCTGTTCAGGGAATGGTTTGTGCGTCGCTCCCGATGTTTGCCAGTGCTACTCCGGCTGGACAGGTCTCAATTGCGGCAAATATACTTGCTCCAGGTTACTTTTTCCAAATTTTTTACTTGTCAGCTCTTTCACTCTAAGCCAAAAATGTTTTGCAAGTAAAGTAAAACATTCTCCATCGTACTCATTGAAAGTACTCTCTTAATGACATCAGGGTATACGATTGTCTTGGCCGAGGTGCATGCGTAGGACCTGATAGGTGCAGTTGCGAGGCTGGCTGGTGGGGCGACGATTGCTCGAGGACCAACTGCTACCAACGAAATAATTGCTCAAACAGGGGCGTCTGTATTGGACCTGACCAGTGAGTCAGATGTGAATCGTTCGTCGGGCTATCTGGTGTGTCGTTAATAAATTTGTGTTTAGTGATTCAAAATAAATATAATCATGCATTTTCAGGTGTATGTGCGCTTCTCAATATTCTGGACTTGACTGTTCCCAATGTAAAGAAGGCTGGTGGGGCAGCAGTTGTTTGCCCTGCCCCAGTTGCGTCCACGGAACCTGCAACAAAAACACTGGTAGGTACTAACAATTTTATATTCCATCCATCATTCAACATAAAATTTGAATAAATGTTTAAAAAAGGCACGTGTGATTGCATTGGACCAAACTTTGCCGGCCCCCTGTGCGATCAATGTGCTCCCAAATTTTTCGGGGCCACCTGCCTCCCACTCGTCAAACTCTTCAGCATCATTCCTGATTACGGGCCTGATCTGGGCGGCACTGTCATTTATGTTAGCGGGAATAATCTTCCAAATGTGACCACCTACAAATGCAGGTTGGCGGAGCTGCTTGGTGGCGCTTAAATTTTTTTTAAACTTTAAAACCACGTCGTTTTTGCAACAGTTTTAAGAATAAAAATTTTAAATTATATATTAGCCTATAAAAAAATGTAGAACCATAATTTTTAATCAAATGTGAAACTCTGAAGGTTTGGTGGCGATGTTGAAGTGAATGCCAGTTGGATATCGGCCGATAAGATATCTTGCATAAGCCCAAGAACGCAAGCAAATGTTGTTTCGTTAGATGTGAAAATAAATGATGCACAGGGGTATCTAAATAATAAGGTTGATAGTATCAAAAAGATTTAATTATTTGTCGTTATAGTATTTCTTAGATAATTCATATAAAATTCGTTGTTAAATAATTTGATAATTTTTACACTTTCAAGTTCTTCTTCACCTTCAACCCTGCCTGCCCCACAAGTGCTTGCGGCAGTACCACCACCCCAAGAAGAGGGATGTGCAACATGGGACTATGTACTTGTTTCGTGCCCTGGACTGGGAGCGATTGTGATCAACTGGGATTGGCTCCTGAAATATCTGCTGTCAAAAATGTTGTTCTGATGGAAGGACAAGATTTTACTTTACAACTGAACACGACTCAGGTTTTTAAACTGTTAAATTATCACTTTATATAACTTTCTAAGGTAAATATAAAACTGCTTAACAAACATTCCATCGAATTAAATTTAAGTTTACAATTAATGAAACTCATCTAAAGATTTCATTTTAATAGGGGACTCCGAGTTTGAGATGGCTTCTCCTTATAGCTCCTAACGGGATTAACTTGGACGAAAGTTCTGGTTTGATAACATGGGCCAAAGTTTCCGCCAGTACAAAAGCGTACAATTTGAAAGTAGAATGTTCCAACAAATATGGCAGAAGCCTGGCGACGTTCAACGTGGCAGTACCTCCGTCGTATGTCCTCGTGTTGGATGCGCTTCCTAGGGGTCCCTTCATCAGACCGCAGTCCACACTCATCAGTGGGAGGGTTGCGTGGGTCGATGGGTTGGTCAATCCCTACATCACAAATTCCCAGTTGCCTATCGTTTTGTTGTAAGTTTTCAAAAATTGATTTTGGGCTAAATGATGTTTTTTAATTGTGAAATAATTGTGAAATTGTTCTTACGCAAACTGTATTTTTCAAGAATCAAATCAAATTTTGGCCTGAGGAAAATACCATTAACGTCGACTCCAATGAGCCAAAGAGGTTTGTTTTACACGAGGTTCCAACCGCTGAGTTCCGAGATTGGTCTGACAGAACTGGTTAGAACTCTGTTTTGAAAGTGCAATAGATTCTCATAAAATCTTCACGCTACAAAAATATATATTTAACAGCGGTTCAGTAAACATTCCTGTGTTTTTTAATCCCTAGGACGCACGCCATCCGTCAGATGTTGGTGCAGTTTTAACTAACGTTCAGCAAAGTTGGAGGGTGTATGGACTGAACTTCGCCGTCAGTCCCTCCACGGTCTCCGAGTATATCGGTCAGTATTCCTACCGGAACTTTTTTGTGGTCAGCAACAATGGCCTGGACCCATTGACCAATTTGATTATCATGGTTAGCTGAATGATTATTTCAACTGCAGTTTCTTTAAAATGTAAACTCCGAACTACTCCTCAGATAAACACTCCCCCGTTCGACCTAACGGTATACTCCAACGTCTCAGCTCAAGTAACATGCGAGTGGTCTTCGGCGTCAGCATCTCGTACAACCAACTGCTCGATCGCTAACACCTTGAAAGTCAACGAAACTATTCACTTGGACGCCAACATAATCGGTAAATCTTTTTCAAGAATAAAATCACTCATTCAATTTTTGACAGATAATTTCTAGTAAAGTAATATTAATTATGTTAAATTCTGGTAAAGTAATATTAAATATGTCAATTTCTAGTAAAGTAATATTAATTATGCAAATTTGTAGTATAGTAATTATAATTATGTTAATTTCCAGCCGAGGCAGGGTATTCCGGTTCATTGCCGATAGCTCTGCTAACGAGAGAGGGAGTCGTGGATGAGGAGATCTTCACTTTCTCCTATCAACAAAAATATCCGGCCTTCGTTTTTTCACGCGATTACGTCGAAGCCATTGTCTCGAGAGGAAAGATTCAGTTCGAGCAGGTAGGAGGTTTCATCATTCCGTTTATATTTCTATTTTTATTGAGAGCCTTGTTAAGTTTCAACGATTTAGTTCTATATTTTGAAACTTTGATGAGTGAATTAATAAACGTTTCAATGAAAATTGGACGTCCACAACTTACCAGATACAACTGACAAACGTGGGTGCCAGGGCCGCCACGAACGTCAAACCACAACTTCCTAGTAGCTCTCTTTTAAGCTTCATCTCATTTGGCAGCAACACTACGACACTGACAAGCACATCAGAGGCAGGAATTATTTTGGAACCTGGTCAGACTTGCACTCTGGTGTTTTCCTTCAACCCTTCGGCCAATGAATCGATAGGTGATTTACAGGGCAGTGCTTCAGTCGTGTCAACAGAAACAGCTGCTACTTTCAGATTTCGGTGATGACATCTTTGAAACATTTTTATTAACGCAGGCAATTAACAATACGGACATGAAAATATTTTTCAATAATTATGCATACAGGTTTATAGTAGCGTCCACGGATCATTTAAATTTGACAATAAGGGTAGAAGATGAATACACGTACTTCAGCAACGAGAAACCGCTACTGGCCGGTGCAAAAATTTCGTTGACCTCAAGATACACCGGCCTAACTCTTCAACAAATCACCGACAACAGTGGTATGAAAGTGTTTTTATGTTTTCTCTAGTCAAATCTAATTCCGCGACTGAGGTTTTGCAAATTTTTATTACAACTTATAATATTTTAAAGGCGCTGTGACGTTCGTGAACATACCAGAAGATTATTACACGCTGCAGACGTCAGCTGAGAAACACCTGGCAGACTCACGCGTTATATTCGCGACGCAAGGACAAAATCTGTTGTCAGTCTTCTTACAGAGAACTGCTGTGACTTACAGGTTAAAAATCAGGATTCATTGTTTATGACACTAATTCAACCAGCAAATATTTTTTCACAAACAGTTGGGTAGTGAAGCCAGTAGTTATAGAAGATAGATACGACATCGTTTTGGAAGCCGACTTCACGACAAACGTGCCTATTCCAGTGGTGACGATGGAACCCACCCAGTTCGACCTGGACCTCATGGAGAGGGGGATATTGACGAGTTTACAACTGAAGATTACGAACCACGGATTGATAGCGGCCAGAGGGTTCCAATTCACACTGCCTCCTGCCAGTGCTCATCCATTCCTTACTCTATCCATGGTTGATTAGTCACTCTTTTATCATGTATAACCATATTCTATTCTATTTCGCAACTATCATTACTTTCCAACATGGCACCGAGGCTTCATTTAAATTTTTATTATTTCCAAATCTGATAAACTTAATTCCAATTGTTGATTATTTTAAAATTTTAACTACAAATTTTATAATTTTTTTCCCAAAAGAGCAACACGGACCTCGGAGACATCCCGGCGAACACAACGTTGTACGCCGTTGTCGAAGTTCACATAGATGAGGTTAAAAAACTTCAATACCTGGACTCCAGTCTCGCCAAGAGGAGTGTTCGTAAGAGGAGTAACATGTAGGCCCGATTATTTTCAGTTAACGTTATTAAGTTGAAGAAAAATAGATCTTTTAAAACATCACGCCCATATATTTATGCCACATTCATTCGCCAGTGCATTTATTAAATTGTTTCATTTATTAATTAATTTACTTATTTATCTAATTAATTTAATTGAGCCTGTTAACAAATTCATGAATTGTCATCGGGAATGAGCAAGTTGAACAAAACTTCAACCGCACAATGGCAGGTTATCAAAAAATCAAATGCAAGATTTAAACTATATAAAAAACACATGTAACAGAAACAAATTTGATGCATTTTAAAGTACAAATTAAAAATAAAATGACTTGAAATTGCAAGAATCAAATGCCTGAGCATGTTGTTGGAGTCAATCTACTGGTACGTGTGCGACAAGAAACGTTACAATGAGCTGATGACGACGATCGACAACTCCAAAGTTTGTCACGCCGATGTTCCAAGTGGTGGCATCAGAGGGGGAGTGTTCAGGCCCTGGCTGGCCCCTGCTTTTGGCTGGGGTAGTAGTTCAGGTAATTTTTCTAATTAGAAAGAACTATTTAAACGTTATTATAAATACTGAAAGATTATTGATCAAATAATC